CTGCCCCAGTAACACCCTCTCTCCTCTTCTCAGGCTCACAGATGCGTGGTTAAGTTCACTTCTCTTTTTGGTGAGGCCCTCCACAATCTCCCCAACTCCATGGCTCCCAGCTCCTACACACTCACACAATGCCTGTATCACTCACATGGGATTTTGTCCATTTACTGTTGTCCCTGTTGCAACTACAACTACAACGCCACTGACACAAACACAGCCTGTGGGTGCTCTGTCTCCCCCAAGACAGCTGAGTTTCTCAGGAGCAGTGCACAGGCGACATCCTCATCTAACGTTCCAGGCGCCTGCATCACCTCCCCTGGCCCCAGGAGGTCCTGTTGGACTCCCCATTTTAGCCAGCAAAGCCAGACTGAGAGAGACCAAGTTCATCTCCTTAGGGTTAGAGAGGCCAGCAGAGAGCTGGCCCTGGATCTAACTGCTAGCCACTGTTGCACCTCTCCCTGGCATCATTAATAGAGGTCTGTCTGGGCCCACTTTATTTCACAGCGGCCCTAGAACTTCAGGAGACAAGAATATGACACACTGGCCAGCACCGCAGCTCAACAGGCTAATCCTCCACCTGCGACGCTGGCACACCGGGTTCTAGTCCTGGTCGGGGCGTCGGATTCTGTCCCAGTTGCCCCTCTTCCAGGCCAGCTCTCTGCTATGGCCCGGGAGTGTAGTGGAGGATGGCCCAAGTCCTTGGGCCCGGCACCCGCATGGGAGACCAGGAGAAGCACCTGGCTCCTGGCTTCGGATCAGCACGATGTGCCAGCCACAGTGCACTGGCCGCGGCGGCCATTGGAGGTTGAACCAACGGCAAAAGGAAGACCTTTCTCTCTGTCTCTCTCTCACTATCCACTCTGCCTGTCAAAAAAAAAAAAAAAAAAAAAAAAAAAAAGATGACACAGTCACAGGATGGCATACACAGTCAATCAGTGGTCTTGGAAAAGGAGAGAAAGCCAGGAGAGGCACCCTCCATCCTGGGTGGGCTTAATCCCAAATGCAGAGCTGGCAGCCTTCGCACACACCCTGGCCCCTCAAGGCCTCTGGCAGGGCAGAGAGGACGCTGTACTGCCACCAACACATGCAGTGTCCGGCACCTGACCTGTGGCTGCACCGTTCTCAATAGTGATGGTCCAAGCAACATGAGCTGTGTCAGGGAAACTAGAGCCCTGTTGAACCCTGCAAAATCCCTCTAGATCCAGGGCTCTGTGTGGCTCCATTTCCCCCAGCTGGGTGAGACTGTAGGCACCACTTCCGCCTGCTGGGCAGGGCTCTAGCACCACTTCCTCCTGATGGAAAGAGCTCCAGCACCACTTCCTCCGGATGGGCGGGGCTGTAGGCACCACTTCCTCCTGCTGGGTGGGGCTATAGGCACCACTTCCCCCTGCTGGGTGAGACTGTAGGTTCCACTTCCTCCTGCTGGGCGGGCTCTAGCACCACTTCCTCATTTTGCAAGGAACAGCCAAGTAGACCCAAAATGCCAGCCCCTGTGAAGCTGTGGGTCAACCTTGGACAGCCCCCTGAAAGGGCCAGACTGCAGGCATCAGTGAGGAGGGATGGGAGCAGGGATGGAGAGACAGCTGTTCCGGGTGGGAAACGAGGACCCAAGCACTCTCCAGGGCTGAGTTCAGCACAGTCAGGGGAGCACAGTTCCCACCACCCAGGAACACCAATCCCAGTGCTGAGGCACGGCCTTGGTGCTTCCCGTGAGCACCTGGGCTGCCAGTGTCTGCCCCCAAGGCATCCAGCATCCTCTCTGCTCTTGTTTCCTGCCTGCACTCCAGCAGGTACAACACCCACAGACTCACGGGCTCTGGTCTACGGAGCGCATGGGAGTCTGTAATGTTCAGGGTATTTTTAAACTCCCAGGCCACTTTCTCTCCCCAGGAACAGCAGGCCTGCCATTTAGAACGGTGTTTAAGCCACACCCCACCTGCTTTGAAACTTCAGGGTTTTGTGTTGAAAGAAAAAGCAAGCAATCCTTCAAGCATGTGAGTGTGCACACACACACTCATGGGGCAGGGCGTGGGGTGGGCGCTGAGGGTGTTGTGCACGGAACAGCCCTCTGAACATGCAGGTCTCGCTCACAGCTGCAGGGACAGACACCAGGCTGTACAGGTGATTTCAGAAGACAACTGCAGGGACAGCAGTCTGGCCCAGCAGTGAAGACACTGCCCCAGAGGACCTGATGCCCAGCTCTGGCTCTGGACTCCAGCTTCCTGCTAATGCAGTCCCAGACAAGTTAAGAGTGTCAGGTCATCACTTTCTCCAAATTCTTTTTTTTTTCCTTAAGCCAAAGACATTAAGGCAAAAGGGAAAACAACTCAAGAGAAAGAGAATTTAAGGGAAGAATCGAAGACAAAGTCTTCAAGGCAGCAGTGCCCGTGGAGGCGGAAGCCTGTGCGTGGGGCGTACGATGGGCAGGGTGGAAGCCTGTGCGTGGGGCGTATGATGGGCAGGTGGGGGTGATGACCAGGGACTCAGCCAGAGACACTCGGTCCCTATGGAGTTGTTAAAAATCACAGACAGGAGACGGAGGCTCCCAGGACCATGGGGCCTGACTACACCTGTGGGCTTGCCAGGGTCAGCCCCTGCGCAGACGTGCGTTCCTTCCCAGTGCATGCCGTGGCCCTGCCACACCCAGACTTAAGAACTGAGTGTCAGAGGAATCCCGTCCTGTGGGGGCCTCAGGCCCTCGGCCATTCCAGTTCCCAGGGCAATCCCCTCCCCTGTGAGCTGTGGCCCAGGTGCTCCCTGTCATCACCCTCCCTGGACTGTCCACCGTCCCAGGACCATCCTTTCTCATGGGACTGTCCACTCTTCTGGGAATGTCCACCCCCACAAGACCATCCACCCCAAGACTGTCCACTGCTCCAGGAACATCCACTCCCACAAGACTGTCCACCCTCACAGGACCATCCCCCCAAGACTGTCCACTGCTCCAGGAACGTCCACCCCCACAAGATTGTCCACCCCCACAGGACCATCCACTGCTCTGGGAATGTCCACCCCTACAAGACTGTCCACCCCCCAAGACCGTCCAACCCTACACAACCGTCCACCCCAACACAACCATCCACCCCCACATGACCGTCCACTGTTCCAGGAATGTGCACCCCCACAAGACTGTCCACCCCCACAGGACCATCCACTGCTCCGGGAACGTCCACCCCCACACGACCGTCCACTGCTCCGGGAACGTCCACCCCCACAGGACCGTCCACCCCCACAGGACCGTCCACCCCCACAAGACTGTCCACCCCCACAGGACCATCCACTGCTCCGGGAACGTCCACCCCCACAAGACTGTCCACCCCCACAGGACCATCCACTGCTCCGGGAACGTCCACCCCCACAAGACTGTCCACCCCCACAGGACTGTCCACAGCTCCGGGAACGTCCACCCCCACAAGACTGTCCACCCCCACAGGACCGTCCACTGCTCCGGGAACGTCCACCCCCACAAGGCTGAGCACTCCGCCTGCTCAGGTCTAAATTCTTGGTGACCACGGATGCCCTCCCCTTCCCTACTTAGAGCAGTTGCTTCTAAAAGCGTGTGAAGTCTGCAAGGCCTCGGAGCACATACCCAAGATGACCTCCTGGGACACACACGCTGGACAAACTCGTTTCCTGCTTGGTTTGTGCCTCAGTTTCTCACAAAGGTCACCATTCCCATACCAAGGTCATGTGGAGCTGGGCCTGGGGCCGGGGCTGCCAGGAGCCAGAGGCCATGCCTCACCAGAGAGCTCTGCCATGGTCTGAGCCTCTTGGTCCCCCTCAAAATTCACACAGAAGCTTCAGGTTCCCGGCAAAGAATTAGGAGGCGGAGCCTAGGAGGCAGGCAGGCCGCGAGGGTTGGCCCCTGGACAGGATCCGTGTTGCATTAAAGGGCTGCCCGGGATGAGAGAGGCTCCTGCTGCCCTCCGCTCGGCCAGAGAGGACATTCTGTCCCCCAGACGTAGCGCTGGGGCCATCCTGAGGCACAGACCTTGCCAGAGCTTCGATCCCGCCCCTCCCAGACTGCAGGACTGTTTGCAAATTGCTCAGCCTCAGGTATGCTGTCATAGCAACAGGAGCAACGGCAAAATCACCTCGCCAGGAGACAGCCAAGGAGGAAGCGTGCATGGGAAAGGCTTCAGGGCCCGAGGTAGATTGGCGTGGGGTCACCAGGGAGTCAGGGGAGCAGGCAGTGGGCACAGAGCCACAACCACACTGGACAGACCGTCCCTCACCTGGGAACCAAGGGCCTGGGAGGAGCTGCAGCACATGGTGCAGACGACGGGGAACACGACAGCCTCACTCAGCCAGGCAGCCCCGGTCCACGGCAGTACTGCCCCCAGCAAGACAGCAGCTTCTGCAGTCCAGTGTCACCACCGTGCTCGGGGTCTGCCACATAGTAAACCCCACAGCCCCTCCTCTCAGCAGACCTTTAACCAAAACCACACGTGCAGGACAGAGGCTCAGGGCAGAGTCTCCTCCTCCTCCTCACCCTCTTCCCCACCTCCAGATGGCCCCAGGACGTGACCAAGCACCCATCAGGTGCTCAGCACCTTCCCAGCCAGACTGCTTCCCTCCAGGCCAGCCCATCTCCCCTGAGGCTCCCGGGCCTGGCCTCTGCCCCTTCCCCCCACCCCCACCCCTTCTTCCTCCATCTCCCACCTCTTCTCTGACACACCTGCTCTCTCCATCTGCAGGACTGCTGCCCGCATCTAACCTCAACCTGATCTTTTCACAGCCTGGGGCTGTGCTCATGTCACTCAGGCCTGACAGCACCATGAATCAGCTGATTTGAACGAACCCATCTTCCCCTCAGCCAGCTCCTTCCCTGGTCTCCAGCTCTGTCTGTAGCCTCACAAACTGCCCCAAATCTGGGCTCAACACTCTGGACGGCTCTGTCACCACCTCACCCGTCCCCCAGGCCCCGCTGCTTCCTAAGTCTCTCCCATGGCTGCCTCTCTGTGGCATATTCACCAACACCCCAAAAGTGAGCGCCTCCATACCTTCTGCTCAGGAGTGCGGACGGGCTCTGCCTCAGCCCCTGCTCGGGTGCCACCACACACACCACCGCACTGAGCTGACCCTGCCCCTGCGGCACAGGGAGCCCAGAGCTGCATCTGATAGGAGTCATCAGCAGACTGAGCTTGTGCAACTAGTGAGTGATGGAACACTCTGGTGCCTACATTCTAGCTGCCACCCCACGCATCCCCAGAAGGACCCCCACTGCCTCAGTAGCACAGGCTGTTCACCACTCCCCAAACATGCCTTGTGTACTGTGAATACATGTGTGTACACGTTTGTGTGTACGTGTTGAGTTGTGCATGCATGTATATGTGCATGTGTGTGTATTGTGTGTATTGTGTGTGCTTGTAGGTATGTTGTGTAGATGTAGATGTATACATTGAGTGTGTGCATGTGTGTGCACTGTGTGTGTGTATGTATGTGTCTGTGCATGCCCATCCCAGAGAATAGCTCATGCTCTCTTATCTTATTTCCTTTGAAAAGTCACTCTGACAAGATGTCAGAATAAGAAAAACCTCTGGCAATAAATTTTCAGAAAAACTAGGTAGACTATAGGAGTATGTTTTCATTTCTCTTTACTTATTTCTATTTATTTGAAAAACAGAGGTGGATAGATCTTCCACCAGCTGGTTCATTCCCTAAATGCCCACAGTAGCAGGGACCGAGCCAGGCTGATGCCACAAGCTGGGAACTCAATCCTGTTTTCCAAAAGGTAGCCAGCAACTCAACTACATGAGCCATCACCTGCGCCTCTCAGGGTGTGCATCAGCAGGGCGCTGAGCTGGGACTCACGCACTCTGAGACAGGACGTGCACACCCAGTGTCCTCACTGCCACCTCTCAGGGTACATATCAGCAGGGCGCTGAGCTGGGACTCACGCACACACTCTGAGACAGGACGTGCACACCCAGTGTCCTCACTGCCACCTCTCAGGGTGTGCATCAGCAGGGCGCTGAGCTGGGACTCACGCACACACTCTGAGACAGGACATGCACACCCAGTGTCCTCACTGCCACCTCTCAGGGTGTGCATCAGCAGGGCGCTGAGCTGGGACTCACGCACACACTCTGAGACAGGACGTGCACACCCAGTGTCCTCACTGCCACCTCTCAGGGTGTGCATCAGCAGGGCGCTGAGCTGGGACTCACGCACACACTCTGAGACAGGACGTGCACACCCAGTGTCCTCACTGCCACCTCTCAGGGTACATATCAGCAGGGCGCTGAGCTGGGACTCACACACACACTCTGAGACAGGACGTGCACACCCAGTGTCCTCACTGCCACCTCTCAGGGTGTGCATCAGCAGGGCGCTGATTTGGGACTCACGCACACACCCTGAGACAGGACATGCACACCCAGTGTCCTCACTGCCACCTCTCAGGGTACATATCAGCAGGGCGCTGAGCTGGGACTCACGCACACACTCTGAGACAGGACGTGCACACCCAGTGTCCTCACTGCCACCTCTCAGGGTACATATCAGCAGGGCGCTGAGCTGGGACTCACGCACACACTCTGAGACAGGACGTGCACACCCAGTGTCCTCACTGCCACCTCTCAGGGTGTGCATCAGCAGGGCGCTGAGCTGGGACTCACGCACACACCCTGAGACAGGACATGCACACCCAGTGTCCTCACTGCCACCTCTCAGGGTATGCATCAGCAGGGCGCTGATTTGGGACTCACGCACACACTCTGAGACAGGACGTGCACACCCAGTGTCCTCACTGCCACCTCTCAGGGTGTGCATCAGCAGGGCGCTGAGCTGGGACTCACGCACACACTCTGAGACAGGACGTGCACACCCAGTGTCCTCACTGCCACCTCTCAGGGTGTGCATCAGCAGGGCGCTGAGCTGGGACTCACGCACACACCCTGAGACAGGATGTGCACACCCAGTGTCCTCACTGCCACCTCTCAGGGTACATATCAGCAGGGCGCTGAGCTGGGACTCACGCACACACTCTGAGACAGGACGTGCACACCCAGTGTCCTCACTGCTGTGCCACAGGCCCACCCTAGCTGGTGAATTTTAGTTCCCTTTGAAGAGCAAGCAACAACTTCTATGAGCAGAAATTGGACTAAGGCTGGGCACTGGCAGAGCTGACTCTCACTTCAGTAATAAACCTCAGAGGGCCACCTCCACAGCAAACAGAAGCAATGAGGAGCTTCTGTCCCTGAGAAAAGCTGAACCCTGACATGAGCTAGAACCCAAGACTGTGTAGTTCACAGTCTTTGGGACTGAGTTCACACTGCATGCTTGGAGGGTTCATGCCACATGCTCAGGAATGTTCACACCACATGCTTAGGAGTCTTCACACCACAGGCTGACAGGTTTCATACCACATACTCAGGAGTGTTCACACCACATGTTTAGGAGTGTTCACACCACATGCTGAGAGTGTTCACACCACAAACTGACAGGGTTCACATTACATGCTGAGAGTGTTAACACCACATGCTGGGAGGGTTCAACTACAAGCTCAGGAGTGTTCATACCACATGCTGAGAGTGTTCACACCACATGCTTAGAGTGTTAACACCACATGCTGAGGAGTGTTCACACCACATGCTGACAGGGTTCACACCACACGCTCAGCAGTCTTCACACCACATGCTCAGGAGTGTTCACACATGTTTAGGAGTATTCACACCACATGCTGAGAGTGTTCATACCCCATGTTCGGAAGTGTTCACACCACATGCACAGGAATGTTCACACCACATACTGAGAGGGTTCATACCACATGCTCAGGAGAATTCAAGAAGCCTGAGGCCAAGGCAGCACACTCCTGGGCCAAGCAACAGAACCAAACAACAGAACCACTCTCTGCAGATGCCCCACAACCCAGCAGATGCTGCGTCTCCATAGCAACAGCAACCACAAGCCACATCACACAGGGCACAGTCACCAGCAGGTCCGAGCCCATGGTGTTCAAAGACACAACAGTGAGAAGCACACCCAGCAGCAACAAGAACAGACACAAGTCTGACAGGAGGTCTGGGGAGGTTTCAATCTGTCTGCAGGAGATTTGAGGCCATCTCAGCACAGGAAGAAATCTCACACTCAGGACTTAAAACTACAGAGTAAGACTGGGGGTCTTCCCCCAATGTAATCTGTAATTCATTCTATCAGAATACCAGTTTTTAAAAAAGGATTTATTTTTTATTTGAAAGTAAGAGTTATATATAGAGAAGGAGAGTCAGAGAGAGATCTTCCATCTGCTGGTTCACTCCCCAAATGGCTGTAAAGGTCAGAGATGAATTGCTGCTGGGTGTTTCATGTGGGTGCAGGGGCCTGAGTTTGGGCCATCTTCCACAGCTTTCCCAGGTCACAGCAGAGAGCTGGATTGGAAATGGAGCAGCTGGAACTCAAACTGGCACCCATATGAGATGCTGGCACTGCAGACAGTGGCTTTATCCGCTACACCACAGCACCAGCCCCTGCTCCACTTCTGATCCAGCTCATACACCTGGGAAAGCAGTGGAGGATGACCCAAGTGCTTGGGCCTGCACTCACTTGGGAGACCCAGAAGAAGCTCCTGGCTCTTGCTTTTGCCTGGCCCAGCCTCAGCTGTTGCAACTATTTGGGCAGTGAACCAGCAGGTGGAAAACCTCTCTCTCTGTCTCTCTCTGTAACTCTGCCTTTAAATAAACAAATAAATCTTTAAAAAGAACACACTGAGGCTGGGCCAGGCAAAAGCAAGAGCCAGGAGCTTCTTCTGGGTCTCCCAAGTGAGTGCAGGCCCAAGCACTTGGGTCACCCTCCACTGCTTTCCCAGGTGTATGAGCTGGATCAGAAGTGGAGCAGGGGCTGGTGCTGTGGTGTAGCGGATAAAGCCACTGTCTGCAGTGCCAGCATCTCATATGGGTGCCAGTTTGAGTTCCAGCTGCTCCATTTCCAATCCAGCTCTCTGCTGTGACCTGGGAAAGCTGTGGAAGATGGCCCAAACTCAGGCCCCTGTACCCACATGAAACACCCAGCAGCAATTCATCTCTGACCTTTACAGCCATTTGGGGAGTGAACCAGCAGATGGAAGACACCCCCCCCAACCCCGTAACTCTGCCTTTAAATAAACAAATAAATCTTTAAAAAAAAGAAGAACAAGTGGAGCAGCCAGCACATGAACCGGTGCCCATATGCGATGCCAGTATCACAGGCAGCAGCTTAACCTGCAGTACCACACACCAGCCCAAAAATCCCGATTTTTAACTGCAGTGTAACAAGCTGACCCTAAATGTCATGCAAGTGACTGAGGGCCAGCAGCTGAGAGCATCTGGTAGGGATGTGGGGAGGTCACAGTTACCTCAGCAAAGCAAGCGAGACACAGCAAAGGGGCCACACAGACAGGTGAGAGGACTAAAAAGTAGTGCCCAGAACACGCCCGGACACTGCATCCTCCTAAACAGCACTAGACCAGAGGGCCACCAGCCCTCAGGACAGACACGGCCAGAGCCCCTCACACTTCCACAGAAATCAACCGCAAACAGAGGGAAAGAGCCAGAGAAGCAAAACTGCGAAGAATGCACATTTATCTCAGTGTGTGGAAGGCAAAGAACAAAAACCAGACACAAAAGTAGATGGGTTCATCAATCAACTGTGTGACAGACACAGCACAAACAAGTAGAAAGACGAGTCGTGTGCAGGGACAGATGTTGATAGCCCCATCTAGGACAATTTGTGTGAGGCTTTCACAGAGCCATGTCTGGGATATGTGTAAGAGCCCCCACACCAGTCACAGCTAGGACACACAAGTGAGAGCCCCACACCAGTCATAGCTGGGACACACACAGGTAAGGGCCCCCACACCAGTCACAGCTGGGACACACATATGAGAGCCCCCACACCAGTCACAGCTGGGACACACACGTGACAGCCCCACACCAGTCATAGCTGGGACACACAAGTGAGAGCCCCCACACCATTCATAGCTGGGACACACACGTGACAGCCCCACACCAGTCACAGCTGGGACACACATGTGACAGCCCCACACCAGTCACAGCTGGGACACACACGTGACAGCCCCACACCATTCATAGCTGGGACACACATGTGACAGCCCCACACCAGTCACAGCTGGGACACACACGTGAGAGCCCCACACCAGTCACAGCTGGGACACACACAGGTAAGAGCCCCCACAACAGTCACAGCTGGGACACACACAGGTAAGAGCCCCCACAACAGTCATAACTAGGACACACACAGGTAAGAGCCCCACACCAGTCACAGCTGGGACACACACGTGACAGCCCCACACCAGTCATAGCTGGGACACACAAGTGAGAGCCCCCACACCATTCATAGCTGGGACACACACGTGACAGCCCCACACCAGTCATAACTAGGACACACACAGGTAAGAGCCCCCACAACAGTCATAACTAGGACACACACAGGTAAGAGCCCCCACAACAGTCACAGCTGGGACACACACAGGTAAGAGCCCCACACCAGTCACAGCTGGGACATACACAGGTAAGAGCCCCCACACCATTCATAGCTGGGACACACATGTGACAGCCCCACACCATTCATAGCTGGGACACACAAGTGAGAGCCCCCACACCAGTCACAGCTGGGACACACATGTGACAGCCCCACACCATTCATAGCTGGGACATACACAGGTAAGAGCCCCCACACCAGTCATAACTAGGACACACACAGGTAAGAGCCCCCACACCAGTCATAGCTAGGACACACACATGAGAGCCCTCACACCAGTCACAGCTAGGACACACAAGTGAGAGCCCCACACCAGTCACAGCTAGAACACACACGTGACAGCCTCACACCAGTCATAGCTGGGACACACAGGTAAGAGCGCCCACAACAGTCATAGCTGGGACACACATGTGAGAGCCCCCACACCAGTCACAGCTGGGACACACACGTGACAGCCCCACACCAGTCACAGCTAGGACACACATGTGAGAGCCCCCATACCAGTCACAGCTGGGACACACATGTGAGAGCCCCCACACCAGTCATAGCTGGGACACACACAGGTAAGAGCCCCCACACCAGTCACAGCTGGGACACACATGTGAGAGCCCCCACACCAGTCATAGCTGGGACACACACATGAGAGCCCCCACACCAGTCACAGCTGGGACACACACGTGAGAGCCCCCACACCAGTCATATCTAGGACATACATGTGAGAGCCCCACACCAGTCACAGCTGGGACACACACATGTGACAGCCCCACACCAGTCATACCTAGGAAACACACATTAGAGCCCCCACACCAGTCATAGCTAGGACACACAAGTGAGAGCCCCCATACTAGTCATAGCTAGGACACACATGTGACAGCCGCACACCAGTCATATCTAGGACACACATGTGAGAGCCCCACACCAGTCACAGCTAGGACACACACACGTGAGAGCCCCACACCAGTCACAGCTGGGACACACATGTGAGAGCCCCATACCAGTCATAGCTAGGACACACATGTGACAGCCCCCATACCAGTCATACCTAGGACACACACATGAGAGCCCCCACACCAGTCACAGCTATGACATACATGTGACAGCCCCACACCAGTCATAGCTAGGACACACACGTGAGAGCCCCCACACCAGTCACAGCTGGGACACACATGTGACAGCCCCACACCATTCATAGCTGGGACATACACAGGTAAGAGCCCCCACACCAGTCATAACTAGGACACACACAGGTAAGAGCCCCCACACCAGTCATAGCTAGGACACACACATGAGAGCCCCCACAACAGTCACAGCTAGGACACACAAGTGAGAGCCCCACACCAGTCACAGCTAGAACACACACGTGACAGCCTCACACCAGTCATAGCTGGGACACACAGGTAAGAGCGCCCACAACAGTCATAGCTGGGACACACATGTGAGAGCCCCCACACCAGTCACAGCTGGGACACACACGTGACAGCCCCACACCAGTCACAGCTAGGACACACATGTGAGAGCCCCCATACCAGTCACAGCTGGGACACACATGTGAGAGCCCCCACACCAGTCATAGCTGGGACATACACAGGTAAGAGCCCCCACACCAGTCACAGCTGGGACATACACAGGTAAGAGCCCCCACACCAGTCATAGCTAGGACACACACGTGAGAGCCCCCACACCAGTCATAGCTGGGACACACACATGAGAGCCCCCACACCAGTCACAGCTGGGACACACACGTGAGAGCCCCCACACCAGTCATAGCTAGGACACACACATGAGAGCCCGCACACCATCACATCTGGGACACACACGTGACAGCCCCCACACCAGTCACAGCTGGGACACACACATGAGAGCCCCCACACCAGTCACAGCTGGGACACACACGTGAGAGCCCCCACACCAGTCATAGCTAGGACACACACATGAGAGCCCGCACACCATCACATCTGGGACACACACGTGACAGCCCCCACACCAGTCACAGCTGGGACACACACATGACAGCCCCACACCAGTCACAGCTAGGACACACATGTGACAGCCCCACACCAGTCATATCTAGGACATACATGTGACAGCCCCACACCAGTCATAGCTAAGACACACATGTGACAGTCCCACACCAGTCACAGCTAGGACACACACACGTGAGAGCCCCACACCAGTCACAGCTGGGACACACATGTGAGAGCCCCATACATGTAAGAGCCCCACACCAGTCATAACTAGGACATACATGTGAGAGCCCCACACCAGTCATACCTGGGACACACATGTGAGAGCCCCCACACCAGTCACAGCTATGACACACACGTGAGAGCCCCCACACCAGTCACAGCTAGGACACACACGTGAGAGCCCCACACCAGTCATAGCTATGACACACACGTGAGAGCCCCACACCAGTGGTACCTGGGACATGTGTATGTGAGAACTCACACATCACAAGGAAAACACTTACTACCTATTAGAAACATGGTCCAAGAATACCAACAGGCAAGTCATGTAGGAGGAAATCCAACAGCCGAGAAACATGTTACATGTTTAATTCCTTGGTAATCTTGGAAATGCAATTAAGGCACTAGTTGGATTCCTTGTAAAACCCACCAGATTGGCAAACCCTAACAATTCTGGTGATCTCGAGTGCTGTGAAAGACGCCAGAAACGTGCACATGGT